TTCTCACACTCACTAGTCCTCTGCCTCCGTCCTTGCGGCTCGTGTACAGTCTCAGGGTGCTGGATTTGGGATGGAACCCTCCATGCATGGTTAGTAGTTTTCTAGTCTTAATATCTGTGGCTTTTATCTCCTCCTTTGGCCAGCTAATTATTCCAGCAGGGTATCTGATTACTGGCAGGGCATAGCTGTTTATATATATATATATATATATATATATATATATATATATATATATATATATATATATATATATATATATAGTTTGAGTGATGCTGGAAAATCTGATGTCTTGCACAAACAAGGCTGTGTGTGTAACTACTTACATAAATCCATTATGTTTCACTGCTGAGAGACTCTTGTTGACTGTGTGCAGCACCATCTGCATGATTTCAGATTTACACATCTTTGCTGACATCTTCCTCGGCTGTGCTGGTTTGAGATGTCTGTATAGCAGAAAACACCAGTTTAAATAGCTCATGATGAATGTTGCCTTCTGCCGTCAAAAGTAAAGTGTTTACCCACCGACAGCAGATCAAATATATCCCTGCGTCGGTGGCAGCAGCAGAAATTGGTTTTGCTGCGGGTGAAATGGGGGATCGTGCCGTTTTGTTGTTGGTGCAATGAAGTGATGGTTGTGATGTTTGCGCCTTGAGGGCCAACATGCAGACGAGAACTTGGTTTAATAAAGATAAGTCCCAGAATAAACCCAGAGGGAGCTGAACTATCAACTCTGTTTCCTTTCAATTGTCTCATCACTTTTGAAAGAACTTTGAAGAATATTGCAAAAATGAAAAAAAAGAAACTAGAAGGAAATACAGATCCTCCATCTGACCCGGAAGTTCGGACAAAATGTTGATGGTCCACTACATCAGAACCATCTCTCCTTTAGCGTATTATTATTTTTTGGGTTTTTTTTTTTTTTTTTTTTTTAAAAGCCAAAAACTACTTTAATTGTGCATTCTTTTTTTTTATTTTTGGGGGGGATTTGATGTTTTCTTTTCCAATTTGACACTTCAAAATCTGAACAAAAAACATCAGATGAAGCATCGTTAAAGACCTGAGATTATAAACTCAGAGAATAAAATTTAAGGATACAGCAGAAGAAGAAAAATAAACAAAAAAGAAAAGATGAGTCATGGTCAGTAGCAGAGAGGAATTTCTTTCCCTTAAGATCAGATGTTTTTATTAGTGAACAATGTAAACAATGTGCCTGTTGCTGAGAGCAAAGGCGTTAATAATTCAGCCTCAGTCCAGGCCCTGCACATTTTTCTCCATGCCATTGGTTCAATTGTCTCTGTTCCTCCAAAACAATAGACAAGAGGAACTGCACTCTCAACATGAAGGCTCAGAGACACACATATCAACATTTAGAGGTCCAGAAATGTCTCAATAATCCTTTTATAGTGTGAGAACTCTGTGTTGTCAATGGTGCGTCCATTTCCTCTGCAGCTCTGCCTGGCTCTCCCCCTTGTGGCTTTATTTGTCAAATCTTTGCTGAAACTTCTCTGGAGATGTTTAGATTTGACACAGTCAAAGTAGAGACATATTTATAGCATGCTAAAAGATGAAGAAATGTTTCAAAGATCTGCAGCTCTCTTCCTTACCAAGAGTTTTTATGCAGCTGAAGCGAATGTGTGGACAGTTTCCTGCCTGAAGTATCGATATGCTGACAAGCTGTCAGCGAGAATCTGAGCAAAACCAGGACCAAATTGCTGACCATTAACTGAGCTCCTTCTGAAGGCAGAGTTTAGAAAAACGTCAGCAGCGTTTGAGAGGAAACCATTCACAGACAAGTGAGATCGAAAAGATGAAACCAAGAGAGAAATTAAAACTGACATCTCCACTCAGCATCACACATTTCACTGCCGTCATTTCTGCATTGGGAAACCTCGTGCTCTCATATCTGACTTGACCTTTATAAATATGGATTATTAGCCCACATGCATCAATACTGCCATTATATCTGGCGGTGCTGGTAAAGTTTAATTTTTAAAGCCTGTATTGTGCTCCTCAGTGATAGCATCTGTAGCTATTTTTCCCCCGGTTTTTAATAAAACGGACGCCGCAGCTCCATGGTTATCGCCGTCCTTCCACACAGACTTTAACTGAGCTTTTGATCAATGGCTGGAACGTGGCAATAATGGAGCCTGCGCTTCCATTTTCAACAGGAACACCCACACACTATAAATCCTGAGCACTGGTGGCCCGGTGAAATGCAACACATAAAAACATCCAGCAAATGGAATAATAGATCATGGTTTCTTTTTTTCCCTACCAGTTCCTATTTCCGATTGATTTGATTTTATCTCGACTGTTTTGCAGTTTATTCCGCTGCGTTTGTGGGCTGCCTTACCGGCCATTACTGCAAATACGGACAAATGATTTATTTCACAATGAAAATAATGCTTCAAAAATGATATGTGCATCACACATGCAAAAGCTTATTACTTTATTTGGAGGAATATAGCCCACTTTAACATCAAATATTAATTCATGTTTGACTTCCTAAAGGATTTCCTTGTTATTACAGGATGAATATTCTATTAAGAGGATCAGAAATGTTAAAAATCTGTCTGCTAATGATTCCTAAGACCAAAAATAATGTCTCTCTTGCTTTTCTTAAGGCTTATGGTGAAGACATGACATGCAGCCAGAGCAGAACTTAAAGCAAATCTTCTAATTGATTGTCTGTGTGAGAGTTTTTCCTTCCTCCTCCTTTATCTTAAACTGGCACTGCAGGAAAATGATAAACTTTTGCTTTAGGCAGCTTTAACTTTTATATTCCCTGTGTGGAGGACTGTTTGTTTTTTTATCAAGTATAACTTTTAGTTTTTTATGGTAAGCAAAAGTGTAATTCTCCAGATCTTCATTAAAAACTTGTTTTTTATGTGTTTAGCATGATTTAAGAGTCAATCTGGAGGCGTTAACGACCAGAAGAAGGATTTAAATCCCATCTAAAGAGATCGATTTTTTTTAGAGATATAAAACTTATGTTGCGTTTTATATCTGATTAAAACCAAAATGTATTATCCCTTAAATGAGGAAGTCTTAATAGTAAAATAGGAACACCTTGCAGAATTTATTTTCACGGAAAGTATTCACTCACATGGATGTTTTAGACTTTTTATTGATTTACAAATCCATCATGATCAACAGTTTTCACCGAAGTATTTACAAAATTCTTAATATCAAAAAGTGACTAAAAACTCCCTGCTCATTCGTAGCATATTTTCTAAAACAAATCCTTCAAGGTTGGAATATTTTCATGTCAGTGGAATTTGCAGACTGTGCTGGAACATTTCATCACTTCCTTTACAGCAGAGTCAGTTTCACTTTCCGTCGCTCCTCCCTGCTCTGCTTTCCAACGCCGACATCCCCACTTGACCTGAGCCGTGTTTATCATCACAGTGTGTGTGTGAGACGCTGCCTTGACAAACACAGCTTCTGTGTGTGTGTGTGTGTGTGAGATTAAATTGATTTACCCGGCACTTTTATGCAAAGTGACTCACAAACAAGGAGCTTGCTGCAGTATGCAGCACTTTGTTGCACTGAATGGGTTTGAAACCACCTGCTGGTGGAGAAAAAAGGTCTGGAAATGGTTTTGGGTCGGATCTTAAATACTGGATGCAGTTCAGGCAGAACTCAAAATGTGATGCTGAAAAAGTATTTGGCCTCTTTATGACCCTTAACTTTGGTCCTGAATTATGACTTTTTGGTAACAGTATATATATTTTCATATGTATGTTTTCAACAGATTCTTTCCATAAAACACCAAAGGTTATAGTACTTGAATCTGTGGCAGCAGAGCAAAGGAAATTTGCTCTTTTATTATACAGAATTATTGCTAGTATCTTATTTTACACAATTTCAGCTTTTTTCTCGCTCTATCATTATTTTCTTTAATCAAAGGATTCCTTTAGCAAAGGGGATTTTTGTGTTTAATCTTAATTCTTCACTGATTCAGACAAATGTCTTCCTTCCTCAGGCATTTACTCTTCATCCTTTACAGCAAAGAGTTTTTGATGAAGCTGATCAAACCGACGCCAGTGAATATTGACTCCTGTCTTTGTTCATTTGTTCTTCCATAGCTTTTTTTCCCACATTATCTCAGCAATTAAGCTGGTGATTCTTTCATGTTATCAGAATTCTGGCAATAATGGACAAATTATGATTCAGAAAATTCAAGACACTTCTTTAGAATATATTATGATGTTCTGCTGTAGAAAGGCAGTTTAAATTGGAGGAATTACACCTGCAACAGCAAAGTAGAGCTTTTCTATGACTTATGGGAATCATCCTCTAAATGTATGCTTAACATCTTCATTTTAGTGGAAGAAAAAAATGAGAATTGCTGAAACTTTTTCCTCCATTAAAGGACAAAATTTGATTTCTTGCTTTCTGTGGGTTCACAGATATTTGAAGCGTCTTTGTTTGTGGAGGCGCTCTAGTTTGGGACAGGTGTAGATGATTCTGTCAATGACTATTTAGTGATGATATTTATTAGAAAAAGTCTATCGTAATTAAAAAAAGGTCTTACACTGTATTCCATAAATTTATTAGATTTAAAAAAAAAATTAATGTAACATATGAGTTAATCTGCTTATTGACAAAAGTTTCCAAACAGGAGAAATTCTGGTTGAATAACCCAAATAAAAGATTGTTATTGAGCTAATGTGTTTATTTATTCAATAATTTAGCAGCAAAGAAGATTTTAAGCTTAAACTTATTTTTTATTGATGTGGTTTTTCATTTATTCATTAATTAACTACAAACCCTGCAATTAAAATGATACAAAATTCAAATCGAGTCTCAGCACTAAGGAGAATAGATTAGAATAGAATGAAATGGAAAATGTTTGAAAAGCGGATAATTGTTTTGAACAGTTGAAATATTGTTTCTTCTTCAGAGTTGTCCACCTTTAAAACAGGATTGTTTTGTGAAAAGAAGTTGTTGCTGCATATGTAACCATGTTTCTCTTCCTTCATGTTCATGTCCTGCAGGTACTGAGTGCATTTTGGTTTTCAATGAACCAAAGGATCAGTGGGAACCTATTTTTGGCACCTGCGTCTTCCTCTTCTCCTTCCTCATCCCCATGGCCATCATCAGCATCTGCTACAGTCTGATGGTGAAACGCCTTCGAAATGTCCGCATCCTGTCTGGCTCCAAGGAAAAGGATCGCAACCTGCGGCGCATCACCAGGATGGTCCTGGTGGTGGTGGCGGCGTTCGTGGTCTGCTGGACGCCCATCCACATCCTGGTCCTGGCTCAGTCTCTGGGCTTCATTCTGAGGAGCATGTACGCCGTGGTCATGTTCCACTTCTGCATCGCTCTGGGCTACATCAACAGCGGCCTGAATCCTGTGCTCTACGCTTTTCTGGACGAAAACTTCAAGCGCTGCTTCCGTGAGTTCTGTCAGCCGTCTCCGTTCCGCCTGGACACCCAGCAGTCAGGCAGGATGAGGAGCATCGCCAGGGAGGTGGCAGCGGCCTACAGCTACAAGGGCGGGGACGGCGGGGGGCCCGGTGCGGGAACGGCGAATCCGGCATGACTAGGCGTGGAGCTTCCTCTGGTGGGGGTCGTCCCCACGCAGAGGGGAGAGACTCACGGGACAGGAAACTCCAACACAGAGCTCACTCAGATCACGGCTCTCTAGCGGCACGAGCCCTCCCGCCCCCCAACTCGCAGATTGGCGTGGGGCGGGGGGGAGGGAGACGAGGAAGACGGCTTTGAAAGGAAGAGGATTTAGGGAAGATGAAAACACAAACCAACAGCTTCGATGGGACAGCTGGCGGATGTTGCTGGTTTGAGGACAAAAAGCATTTCAAACAAACCTGAAGATGTTCTGCTTAACTTTGATCACAAAACCAGTGTAAGTATCTGAAGGTTTTGGTTTTTAGCTCAAACCCAAAGGAGCCTGCTGCTCCTCCACATAACTGCCAAACCTTCTGGTTCTAAACTCACATTTTGCTGAAGCGTTTGAACAGCAGCATTGGTAGCAGCTGCAGACACCAAATCTGTGAAACTATCCAGCGGTTTAGATCGTCTCCCTGTCACTGAGAACCACAGACTGAAGGCTGCTAAGGAAAAGTCTGGTCAATGTGTGAAACGGTGTTTTCATCACTACTGTGTGCCGCAGCCTTCCAGGTTCCTGTTTGGTCTGAAGTCCTTTCCATCGTCAGTGTTGGATGAAGGCCTGCAGAGCTGTGCTCGGGTCAGCAGGAGGCCGCTGCTGTGCAGGTCTTACTAAGACATGTTTACGTTTTGTCTGAGCTCTTATCACAGATTTATGACATCGAAGTCGACTCGAGGTTGGATTATTAATGTGTTTTCCAATGTATTGGGTTCATATTAGAACAAAGTGAGGCCACTCATTCTTAAACTGTTAGGTCACATGACTGCCGTTAGTCTTATAAACCAAATCTTTCAAGGTATTTAGAACAAAAAGCCTTAGGAATGTTGTTCTTTACCAAGTAGGAGAGTTTCTTTCTGTTTATGACAGCAGAGGATAGAAATGCTTCAGGTGAAGGTTGGGTGACCAGGTGCTGATCTCAGTGTGGACCTGCATAGAGTTTAGAAAACTCAAGTTCTGGATCCGATCCATTGAAGTGGACGAGATTTAGAGAAACAGCAACAATCTGAAAGATTCGATTTGCTAACGATCCCAAAAACCAGTTGATCCCCAAATGACCCTGAAAACATTTCAGCCACAAATATGAAGCTAAATATGAATAAATACCCTGCAGCTGCAAGTTGGAAAAAATGTAACTGTTTATTATTTTGTGTTTTCAATGTTAAAAACATAAATTTTGATATCTAACATTGCAAACATTGGTCACCCTGAGGCAGAACATAATCAACTAAAAGCAAAGATTGAGACTGAACTACAGATTTAGGGTTGGACCAAGGTTATAAATAGTTTTATATATTTATGTTATTATCCTCTATGAATCAGAATAACTGACTGTTTGAGATGATTTTGCTGGGTCAAGGGACTCAGATTATTACAGCGACAGCCTGGAGTTTTGCAAATCAGAGCTGCAATTGTGCAACAAACAAATTACATTGTATTCTGTTACCTGGATTTAAAAAAATGCTATTTTTGTGGGAATTTTATTTGACTAACCTGTTTTGTAAATTAGATGTAAGACTGGATTCAGAAATATGGCTATTTATTTGGAATCGGCATTAAATAGGAAAAGTCAGAATCTACAAAACCTTTAAGAAAATTATTTAAATTAGTTTTTAAGAACATTAAAAAATTTTATAGCTTACAGATATGTTTTTTTTATGATGTTTATCTTCAACTTTATGACTAGACAAGACAATTTTTTTCTTTATTTCACTGCCAGCATATCAAAAAAAGAAGTTACAGAAAGAGGATGCAGGAAAGGCCTGGATAAAGGAAACAAAGGCTCAGAAAATCCTGATTTAGATCTGTTCCCGATTCCCTCTGTGGCTGACGGGACGCCGAGGCGTTTAGACACACGAGGCGTTTGCATGACAGAGAAAATACAATCACAGATTTGTTGAAACTGATCAGTTCTGATGATCTGAGTTGCTTTATTTTTTATTCTTTTATTTTGAAGTGTAAAGCTGCTCAGGTCTGGGGTCGGGTTCTCGGAGTGTTCAATGTGAACCCAAATGCTGGAGCAGCATTGGGCATCATGAAGGGGTCGCAGGGTTCTGACCCCACATCAAGGGACAAAGGGGCTCTCTCTCTCTTTATCTATCTCTGTCTGTCTTTGTGGTGTAATAAAGTGGAAATAAGCCCTGAAACATTGATTTTAGAAGATATTCTCACAATTTTTGCAGAATGTTGTGACTGGATGTTATTTTCTTAACTTATATTTTTGGGAACCTGTGACATCATGCATCTATGGCAACAGGAAAGACACCCTGGACAGATTAGAAGCTGCATTTCCATTAATCATGAAATTGCACAAATCGTAGTTCTAAAAATTAATTTGCTTCTTGCATGGAAACACAGCAGTTTAGCAAAAACTCAAGAAAACAGATTTATTTAGCAAAACATCACATGAGCCACGTGATCAAAGTTGTGTGTCATTCGAACGTGTTGAATCCACAGATCTGTAAAATTAATTACAAAGTTCCCAAAACACTCCACATGTAGACAATAGGAAGTAACTTGACTCCTCTGATTGGCTAATAGATGATGAGCGCTGGCATCGTGACTGAATCATGAAAATATTTACTGTTTAAATCTGTCACAGCCATGATTTTAATGACTTATCATGTGAACAAGCTTATTCTTATTTGATATTGATCTTATTTCTTATTTAATAGAAATACAGCAATTGTGAATTTGTGTTTTTGCGACAAGATTTGCGCTCATCTGTAATGGAAACGCAGCTACTATTGCAGGAAAACACAAAGATAAAACAACCATGCATGCAAGACTTGAATGCTTACATGCATGTTCATTTGGGAACGATTTCTGTTTGCGTGGAAAAGCCACACAGAGAACATGCAGACTCTGCACAGAAAAGGCCATTCTGAGACTGGAACTAGCAACTTGCTTGCTAAAAAATTGCGGAGCCACCATGCTGTCTGAATAAAACACTTAATGTGAACATTACTTTCATTCCTGTGTTGCCTTTCCTCTTTGAAAGAAGTTTAGTTCAACTTTCTTACAGAGTTTGAAGAGATAGAGTCTAAATTTGTGAGAAACTTCCTGTGGGTCATTTCTGGATCTGTATTTGTAGTTTTGTTGACTTTTTTTTTTTTGACATTTCTAATTTGTGCCCCTTTGCTTACGTGGCTCTGTGTTTGAGGATCAACCCGGCAGGTGGAGGAAGACTGTTTCCTAATTTTCATCCTTTCTTTTCTTGCAGTTTTACTAAAGTAGTTAATGGTAGCTTTGAACTGTCTGAGCTTTAACTTGCTACATGTGCTTTGTACGTCTTAGGGCTGGTATCCCCTTTAAAATCTTTGTCACTTCATGTAAACTGTGAATTTCTGTAAGATGTCTATTTTTCTTTCCTTTTCCTTGACTCTCCTGTTGTCATTAGAATTAGAGGACTGCAAGCTGAGATATTTTCCTGTTGCACAGAGTAAGATTATGGAGCAATTTGGCTGTTTGTTAAAAAAAAAGAAAATGTTTCTGCTCTTTGCTGCAGACGATTACCTTTTATTTGATTCCATAAACGTACATTGCCTTAAATATAAAGTGAGGTCTGTTATTGAAGCTTGCTCTTTGGCTGGAAACAATTTGTTCTAGTATGTAATGGTGCTTTGCAGCTACTTTATAGCGGTCCTGACCCGTATTCATAAACCCTCAGAGAATAGCAGGAGACTGGTCCAAAAAGAAAGATTTCAGCTTCACTAAACTCTAATCTAAAGCACGTCCAAATTTTATTAACTAAAAACTTTATCCTCATACAGGAAAGCTGCAGAGTCGCCCTGTCATTGCCCTTTGTTGGTCACATACAATAAAATCAGCCTTTCTGTTGAGTGATCATTTAAGATATTAATATGAAGATCAATAAAAATTGATTTTTATGTAAGAACATTTCCAATTGTAAAACATGTTCTTGTTCTGCCTCCAGTTTTGTTAACATTGATTGTTTACAGTGAATATTTTAGATGCAGAAAGCTTTTGTTTTGGAAATTACGTTTGCTTTCAAATCATCAGGCCTGAAGAAACGTTTTCCACTGATCTGGGGTTCCACAGAGCTGAGGAGCAGGCAATATCCTACCCACGTTATAACGCTCTGTTAAGTAAGCTGTAAGTAAAACGTCTTAATAAAAAGGACCTTTGGCTGTAAAGCATTAAAATACAAGAAAAGAAAAACAAAATGCATACAGAGGAAATGTGAATATGAGTTTTCTTGCTAACCGTTAGTCAATGAAATCTCCAAAAGAAATGTAAAATACAAAAATGTGTTTTAGATTACAAAACATACTGTAGAAAAATGTTCTTTGATAATAAACAGCTTTTTTATTTAAATAAAAATTATATATCAAAGTAATTTTTAATCTTCTGAAAGTGAAAAAAATTAATTGACAATAAAGCAACAATTTCTGATCAGCTTCTTCCATTTTCCATTGATATCTTTTTAAGATGTATTGCTTTGTAGCTACAGGCTACTTTAAGAAGTGATAGAAAATCAATAATATTTGATTGGAAGTGTCTACTATTATAGTATACTATTATGCCTATAAAGCTGTCTGCTCACATTTGACTCAAACTGACCAAAGCTGGAGCGTCCAGGATGATAAAGTCTGTCTGTGGTGAGAGTTTTATGAATACCGGTCACCTGTTTAGACAACCTAGCCGATTGTTTAGGAAAACTAGTCGGAGTGTCAAGGTTACCGAGTCCCTCTTCATGAAGACGTGTCGCGTCGCCGCCGTGAGGCTTTTTGTGCTTAACTGTAACTGTTAAAAGTGAAGAAGCAGCGATATTTTCTAAAATTGTTCGGTGTGACTTCTTTGTAGCAGGTCAATCTGAGTCGGCAGAAACTCTCGTTTCCTGGCAGCGTCATTTTTCTGCCTCTGGACTCTGTATAGACATTTAAAAAGAACATTCTCGATGTAAAAGAACCACGACCTCATCATCACCCATATTTATGATATTTGGCTTGTTGTTCTCGATGTGAAACTGTCAGCGCTCTCACAGCCTCTGATTCTATATTGTTAGCTCTTTGCATCAGGAAGCAGGGAGCCGCTTTCGTTTGTTTACATCCTACAGACCACATGAATGTCAAAAGAAATCTTGTTTAAAATCTATTTCTAAAAAAATGTTGGTGTTATTATAATAATGAGTACCAAAAAAGAGCATTTCCTAAGTGTTTCTGTTGTGTTTTTTCTTATGCTCAGAAAGTGTCTGGTATCTATCAGTGTGTTTCTTGTGGACTGCATTCTGCTCAGTGCCCGAGTCGTGAATTCTCAAACATTGCAGAGAAAAAGTTTTCACACTCCCCAAACTTCCACGGATTTTGTTGCGTTAGTCAGAAATGTCAGCGGATTTTATTGTGAAGTTGAAGGAATGAATTTCTGACGTTTGGACAAATAAAAATCAAGGACAAAATTGCAGATTACAACTTTTGCAATGAAGGCTGAATGTTAACATTCTGCTATTTGTTGCATCTGAATATGTGCAGAATAAATGGGTCACAGCTTCCATTTCTTCTGAATCTCACGACTCTGGCACTGAGCCACATAAATTTACTTGTTGCTGTTTTCTGCACACAGCAGAAAGAACAACTGTGCTAGCTGGCTTGTTAAACACACAGTAAGAGTTTTTGCTGAAGCTTGAATTTAAATTGTATATTTTTTCTTCGCTTATGAAATGAATAAATAAGTAAACAAAGACAATAAGTTGGTGGTTAACAATTTTCTGGGATTCATTTACAACAGTAGTAATCAGCTTTAGTATCGCTGGGTCTGTGAAGGTGCAGCTTAGCACAGCATTTATTTTACTCTGCTGACTCCATTTTAATTCCTTATTTTGATTTTTAAGCTTAGGTCTCTATTCAGTTGATGTAAAATCTGTCACTGTGTGCAGAAGTCATTTAAACGTTCTTTCAAATGGAAAAAGAAAACAAAACCCCCATCTATTTTATTTATCAACTGCAATAAACCAACTTTAGGAGGCAAACAGGAAGTTTTGGATTATTTGCATTCCAATTGTTGAATCTCATGTTTTCTTTTCATCATTATTCTCCTTTAAGGCTGAAAATGATTTTAAAACTTTGCATGAAAAACTCAGAAAACCTTACAGACCTGGTTTCCATGAAAGAACCAACTAGAAAATAGCAAAGAAAAAAATCTATAATTCAAAGCCGGTGTTGGAGAAAGAAAAATAGAAGCTATCATTTTTCTGACATGTAAGTGCAGATTAGACGTTATGTCACTCTGTCCAATGAAACGCATCATCTTGATGCCTGTGAAGAAAAAACAAAAGACCATTTTCATCGTCTTGTAGGATGGATGGTAAATCTGGCAGTAAAATGACAGGAAGTTCTAAATATTTGAATGTGATGTCTTGCTATGAAGCGAGATTTTCTGAAGTCAGCAAAAATGAAAGAGCAGCAGAGTTAGAACAACCAATTGAATGGACTCAAGTTTATTTGTAAAGCAGATCCAGGTTGAACTTTTCATCTAAAAACTATAAAAGGAGCTTTTTAATGTTCAAACATAACGCAGAAAACAGAGAAGCAGTAAACAGTCTTAGTCCAGTTGATCAAATGCAAAATGAGTTTTTCACCTTGATTTAAAGGAAAGGAGCCTAAAAAGTGAATGTTGCTTTTCTATCTTTGGTTGTGGGGATGCAGAGCGGTCTGGAGGTTTCTGCAGATCAAAACATGCCTATAAAACTGTTTGCTCACATTTGACTCAACCCAATTTATTTGTGCAAGTATGAGAAATCCTAACTGAAGATAATATAGTTACTATGATAAATACCTAGCAGCCCCCCTTTAATGTACCTAAAGTTGGCACCAACATGATAAAAAACTGAATGAGTGAAGGGGACGCATCCGGTTCCTCGTTAAATCTGCAGGATTCATGATTCCTCTGCAGTTTGTCCTGGTCTGACTTCTGGTCTCCTGGTTCCTCCATTAGAGGTAATTAAGAGTTTTATGACTGTGACCATAAGGAAGTCAGTCAGAGTCCAACAGAAGTTCAAGAGGCCGAGCTCCTCCTGTTCTCACTCAGAAACAACCTTCTAATAACACGATGCTGCTTCTCTTCAAAGGGGCGTCCCTTTCCCCTGACGATAAGGAGTTTCAGTCCCTGCCAATCTTCAGCTGCTGAAAGAATAACATTACAGATAAGTGAAGGTAATAAATGGAGTCCTTGAAAGGGGTGAATTAGTGGATTGATGAGACTGAAAAGGGAAGGACTAAGATTACATATTTCCCAGCACAGACGATTTTCATCTGTAGCCTCTGCTGTATGTAGCCTGATATGTCTTTATATTCATACAACACATTTCATTTTGATGTGTGGCATCAAGAGAAAAGTTTCTTTGATGGTTCAAAGCATGAGTGCAGCGATGCAAGAAGGTACGAATAAATTAGAAGAAAAATGTCCTTTATTGTCCCACCGTTGGGAATTTCAAGTGAACCAGCAGGAAGTTACAGGTAAACAGACAGAAAAAGAGAAAGAGACGAAACAGGAAGGGCAAATTAAACAGTAGAAATAATGCAGCGCAATCATGAAAAACTAGAGGACTATTTGAAAAGAGGGACAATGGATGCATATTTGTTCATAAAAAGCCATAAACTATTTACATAAAATAAAAATAAATATTGTGCAAATATCATCTGGGGTGTAAAAACTTCTAACATCCAACAGCTAAAAACATAATTTAAAGAAAATGTGCAAATAAAATACGAGAATGAACAAACTAGGAGCTATAAGTACAAGCAATAAACTGAAGAAGCAAGAAAAATTATTTAAAAACACATAATCAGCAGAAGTTAACATTTTAAACAACATTCACATTTAAAGTGTAACATTTTAAAACCTACAAAACTGCTGTTTCTACATGACTTCAACCAGGTTTGCAAGAAAAATCAGTTTTCTCAGAAATTGGTGTTTTTTAAATCTTTTTTTTTTGTCCTTCTGATGAATTCTTCCCGATTTTCTCGTTTCTTGAATCTTCCTTCCTTGACGAGAAAGCAGAATCTTTCTGCATGTGGACTCATTTGCAGGAAAATGAGTCCACATGCATCCATATGTCTGCATATTTGCAATAAGCATCAGTGTGTTTACTGTTGAGACTAACAGCAGCACTGAAGAAGAAACAGAAAAAAAAAACACCATCTGTGAATCAGGTGCTAAATAAATTAACGGTTTGTTTAGATAAAGAATACAAATAGTTATGGACATGAATCTAGAATATAAATGGAAAAGCATTTTATCTAATTAGGCATTTCTATGCTTGGTGCAGAGCAGCAAAGTATTTCCGATGGGATCCTTGGTGGGTGTGGAAATCTCCCAGCCTGCATCAGTGGGATGCCTTCCCTACTTCTGCTGCCTTCAGGCTGGAAGCAAAGATCAGCAAATTTATGACAGTGTTCCAACTTTTACAACCCGAGGCTGAAAACAGCATCCAAACGCTTAGCAATTCCACCCTTTGTTAATTAGAGTGCTCCAGTTCTTCACCCTTCTCAACAATAAAACTTGCTAAGAAAAAGCATTTTGCTTCTTTTCTCATTTTATCAGCTGCTCTGTTTGTGCTTTGCAAGTGTTTCAGATTGGGAAGTGTGAATACATATGGCTCTGGGTTGCACTAATTGAACCTATCTGCACTAGTGTATCATTACTGTCATCTGATTTGTGAATGAGATGCGGAAAACATAAATATGTGGATAAAACGTCGCATTGGACAGTTAGAAAGAGCCTGTTATTTTGTGTCTTTTCATTAAGGAATAAAATCAAACAAGCTTTTTATTGAATCACAGGAGAGTAGACATCTGATCACAGCATTAAACACACATCGTGCTGCACATATGCTGCAGGACGGGTTAGACGACAGTGGAAGAAAAGGAGGGCGCTTGACCTCAAAGAGCAAATACTGGAACATCTTGCATGCGGATAATACCTGACAGGGAGCCACATGATTCATTGGGTTTACTTATGTAAAAGGAAGAGCGGAGCAGCAACGTATGGAATGTCAGTTCATATCACTGAATTCTGAAAATCAAGGTTCCTCGTGTTGCGAGTTCAGTTTGCAGAGAGAGAGGAGGAGAGAGGGCAGTTTGACCAAAGCAGACGAAGGCGTCTGTTGATCGATGGGACGCTGACAGAAGGAGGAAATAGAAAAATGCATTCCTCCCTGCCTCAAAGAAACATTCACAGAGCCATTGCTTTGTTAGATTAATTAAAAGCTCATTACACATGGGCCGGTCTAACATAAAAGAACGGCTCTAACCATAAATGACATCATTATCATCAGATTAGAGGAGCTTTATGCGGCCTATGCACTTAAAAGTGTCAAATGCAGAAAATGAATTGGATCAGTATGAAAGCTGATCTGCCAGAAGCAAGAACAAAGCTTTCAGCAGTTTTTGCTGAACAAACTGTTTTGCTCCATTTTTCCTGAGCGCAGACAAAGTGTGTCCCTCCCAGCTGATAACTAAAGTGACTTTTATGGTGTTGAACCACAAAGTGCTTATCATCTCTATCCTGCAGTGACCAGCAAAAATATTATTACCTCCTGAAGATGTTCACATTGAACACATTATGACCACAAATTCCAACATGGCATGTTGTTAGGAATCCACAGTGCTGGACTGTATGATTAGGAAGTGGAAGAAAAGCAATTTGTGACGAACCGACTGGGAAAGAAGAGCATTAATCAGACAAATAGCCAATGATTCGAGAAGCTTGATATTTTAAATTCCTCAAGGTAAGTTATGTGTTTCTGTTTGTCTCACTGCGTTCCAGCTGGATGATTATTTGTGTTGCTCGACGCTCTGACTTCTGCGATGAGCTTTTCACAGATCAGCAAGAAACAGCATGAAACTGCAGAGGAAGAAAGAAGGAAATACTACAAATATATATTCATAAAAAAGTCTTTCCAGTGTCTACTTATGTTTAAATTTAAGTTTGCTTTTTACCTTTTGAAAGTTAAAGTGAAATGTTTAATTACTTATTTTATTTTATTCTTTAAATTAATTTTAAAAAAAATCACAGTTTTTACTAGCACTTTAACTTTTGTATATTTCTTTTACTAGCTTAAAATCTACTACAGAACAAGACAATTTTATTTATTCGACTATTTGACTGATTGTCAGAATAATCGATAGCTCACTCTAATGGTGTATTCAAATGTCCTAGTCAAAGCTTGGTCCTGAATCCAAGTGTTATTCTGATATTAAAGTTGATGCCTTTGCATCATTAATAAGGCTGAAATTACACAATACTGGTATTTGACTTACAAGTGAAAGCTTAAATTTATTCTAAGAAGAAATTTCAATCTCTATTTGGATGAATATTTATATAACAGGATACATAAACATGGTATGTGAACAGAAATCTAAAGTCAGAGGCAAATTTATGAATATAATTTACATGAAGACGTCGGTTTGATAAGTCGCTGTGTGTTGCATCTAAACTCAGCATTTATTGCGGTTTAATTTTTCCAGCGCCCGTGATTTCACGTTGAAGAAGCAGCCATGTTGGCATTTTTAAACCTGAGCCCATGTGCAGGTTGTGTTTCCAATTTGCGAGGAGTGTGTTGGTCAAATTAAGTTGTGTTGATGACTTCCTGCTGCAAATTAGAAGCAAACATTTGACAACCCATTTAACTTGAGTGCATCAAGTACGGGGAGAAATTAAAGGTTTTTATTGTCAGAGAAAGAAACAGGGGGAAAATCTGCATTTGGATTTGCGGTTCTGGAGTTTAGAACTGAAGGAGCAACCAGGTCCATGACTCACAGTGACTGAAAAATGTCAGAAAATCACTTTTATATTTGTTAAACTAAAGTTGCTTTCTTGACAGATGATCGTATCATTTGAAAGATGTTGGAAAACTGATTTCTGATAAAACATCACTACTGTAATTTGCTGCTTTGGTCGTGAAAGTC